TTAAACCCATGCTTTATTGAATGGTACATGCAAAAATGCTTAAATAAATGTAATGTAGATGCAAAATGCAGAGATTAAAATGTAAATGTAATGCAAAAAAAGGTATAGATCCCAAAGATGAATATCCTAGAACAAGTTTCATTAAAGTCTTCATTATTCAAGATAATCCATTTTCACAGACATATTTTTACTTGTATGTTTGGTCTAAAGTAGGTCGATGCTTTTTTCTCAAAGCTTCGTCCCCGAAAATCGTACCCCTCAAGTGTTTTATGTCCTCCTAGACTTGTATAGAAGTTTTATTTAGAATACTGCACATCTCAGATTATGTCTCTATGGTGTTGGAGTTGTGCATCAAGTTTTGATAATTTTATGTGTAACAAGTGTAGGCAATATTAGTAGTTGCATCGTTGTTCGGGTCAAGTGATCTCCTCTCAAATCTTGGATGTTGTTCTATCGATCAACTTTGATGTCTGAACTTCAAACAAACTTCCTCTTTGTTTCTTCTAAGCTTTAATTAGCCAACAATGCATGTCTGTGTATGCGACTACTTGATTGATCAATGTTTTCCTCTATTTATGAAACTTTTCCAATTAGAGAGTCATTTTTAGATTAACGCCTTCATGTTATGCTATGATGATGATGCAATGCAAAAAGGTAAAAATTACAAAAAAATGAGAAAATTGAATTAGTATAGGTAAAATAATTGATAAAGAAAAAGGTGTTTTTCAAAGATGAATATAACACCTACCCCATCATGATATCTACCCAAATATGATTTAATTAAAATAGTAGTCCTACCCGGACATGCTTTCTACCCAACATGATTTATTTCAAGAAATAAGTCATAATCGTATGGTATATACTTTTCATGCTTTTGTTCGGAAAGAAATTTATTCTATGAATTTTAAAGAGTAAAAGTGCAGATTCGTTCCTCTATTGTGCACACCTATTTTAGTACCTACTGATGGATAGATGGTTGGTATGACTCTACCTAGGGTGACAAATCTATGGTTCACTATATGCATCATTTCGACTCTAAAGTAATAGAGGTACTCGAATTATCCTTGATGTCGGTGCCCCCTTGGGCTGCCAAACCCTCAATCCTCATCCATTATAGACTTAAGTGGATCAAGTTTAATTCGAGGAAGAACATTCTTTACGTCTATATGAAGGGTTGCTCATGAAGATCATAAGGGCATGTACTCCGGGAGTGATTCACTAGCATATGCGGAGGGCTACTCGCGAAGGCACTAGCAACCCACTCCCACTTAGCATGATAAACCTCGTGTATAAAGCTTATGAAAGCCAAATGCATGTAACGTGTGTGAGGAGGAACTCACAAACTTTTGACAAACTCAATTTTGAAAACCTTAACAAGTCTGAAATCAATGAAATCAAACATCAGTACAACTATTTACAAGAATAAAAATGATGCATGATTATGAAAATTGAAATTAAAAGGATCGTAATTCAAGTAAATGTTCAAATTTATAAAATTCCATCCACTCAGACAACGTATAATCGAATAAGGCCTAGCTCTCTAACCATCCTAAGTGGAGTCACCAAGATGTCAAAACCATTTTTTATTATTTAATTTAAAATAATTTAAAAAATAATTATGACTTTATTTTGAATTTTTTGGGTTTTTATTTAATTTGAGATTTGGAGTCGCCATCGACCTTTGGATTAGGTAGGTCGAATACCTAAAAACGTCTTTTAAAATAATTTTAAGAAAAATAGTTTTTTAAGACAAAAATTGGTTTGTGTTTACCAAATATTCATTTTAAAGGGTTCGGGAGTCAATTACGTGTGGGGAAGGATTAGCACCCCACAACGCCCTAAATTGGCACCTCTCGATTATATGTTGTCTAAGTAGTGTAATTTTATATATTCAAATTCAAAATTTAAATTAAGATCCTTTTATTTTAATGAATTTTGAAGAATGAGTGAATCTATTTTAAAGCATTTGACTCAATGAACATGATTTAATTCATTCGATTTTATTTAAGAATGATATCTCCTTACTACGTAAATTAACAGAAATTGGAATTCAATCATTTTGAATGTAATTTCATCAATTCACGACGCAAGACATCATTGCCTTTGATTAATTTATAAAACGAGAAAAAAATGAATGATTTATGAATGCAACAATAATGAATGATATGTACAGGATGAATAAAAAGGTCAAAAATGTACAAATTTAAACAAATAAATTAACATACAATATATTTATATTAATTAAATTGAAATTGATGGGGGCATTCTTTTACTCGTGCGTTTTAAAAAAAAATCTCACTCCAGGTATTGGAGAGTTTCACATTGACCACTCTTCGCTCGAGATTTTTCCCCTAAAATAGACTATATTTTAGTTTTTTATTTAAATAGTTATACTATAAAAATATAAGTATTTAAAAAAAGAAATGAATATATACACACACATACATAAGGGTCAAATATATTAAATAAATATATACATATACCTTTAAGAATGTATGAAATAATAACTAGTACACAAAACAAATATAATATAATATGAGGATTCAAATAAATATAAGAAATATCATGTATAACAGATACATGATAAAGGAGATTAAAAAAATAGTATTAACAACCACATGAACAATACAAATAAATATTTAATGCAAAATACCAAAAATACATACAATAACATGCCATGTTTAACACCACAATTTACGTAAAAACAATACACCTATATATAAAAAAAAGTATTACATATTCATGTAATTAGTAAATATAAGGACTAAAATTAAATGAATACTAAATATAATTACTAGACATATGAAACAATAATTTAATTAAGGATTAAATAAAAAGAAACTAAAACACAGAGGTTCAACATAAAAACAATCCGTTGAATATCCATTAAACTAAAATAAGGACTAAAATAAACACATCACAAATTAATAAGCGAAATCAAGCATTTAACCAAGAGATTAATAGTGTAAATAATGACTAAAATATAAGAGTGATGAAATTTAAGGTTCAAAATTAGGAATAACACATGTTTCATTTAAGGACCGAAATGGAAACTTATAAAACTCAAATGGCCACCAAAGGGTTTATCCCATGCGCAAGAGTTTTGACATTCATACCCCAAAATGACATAGTTTTGGAATCCCTATATATACTCCTTTTAATTTTTTTCTATAAACTTGGCTTCATTTCTTCCCTCATCCGCATCTCTCCTCTCTTATTCACTATTCTCTTTTTTTCTTTTCCAGGAAATTGACGAGGGTTCTCATCGTCGGCCACTGTGACTGCCACCGTCGATCATCGTCTCTGATGGTCGTTGGACCCCATATTACACCTACAAACTCATTTAGACTCCTAGATCACAAATATGGCATCAGTTCTGCGAGATGAGACCCCTAACCCCATGAAAAAAATAAGTCTTTTAGGCTCTTTGCCTATCCGATTTGTGATATCGGACTGTTGGATCAACTTGGTTTTGAGATAATTACTCTCCTCAGTCTTCTCCCTCAGTTGACCGTTCAAATTCACAAACCGACAATCGGAGCATCAATTCGGACGAGACCACAACGGTGAAAGGTAAGCCCTTTTTATCTCGGTTTTTGTTCTTTTTTCGTTAGGATTCCCTTTTTCCTTGGTTTTGAAATCTCTCTTTTTAGTCTCTCTCTCAGTTTTTTTTATTATTAGCACTTTTCCTCTCTTTATTCCAAATATGGGTTCCTTGTTTTTAGTTCCTCTTGCATGTTTATATGGCTATTTGATGATGGTTTGATTGATGGATATTTTTGCTTTTTATTGCTTGTCGATGATGACACTGAGATAGCTGAAACGATGGCGTCAACGAGTGCCAAAAGCAAGTGACAAATGTGACAATAATAGACTCCCTCGGGTTAGGGTTTAGGGTTAGGTTAGGTTGTTTATGGGATAGAGTTTGCTATTTGGGCCTATTGCATTGGGCTTATATCTTAGCCTGCAAAAATGTAAATAAAATTTTATAATAATAATATTAATAATAAACAATTAAAACCCGGAAAAAAATGGGTGTCTACAACTCTATCATTCTTATTTTGAAGTTAACATGAAATTCAAATCGAATTGAAATTGTTCGAGTTTCTATACAAATATAATTGTTTATAATATTATGATACAGGTTGATTTTTATTTATCATCTTTCTTTAACCATATAAGACATGCATATATATTTATTCATATTTTTATATTGTAGCGTTATTTAGTAAATCAATCATAATTTAAAATTAGATTTAATTGCATCATATGTCCTAAAAGTATGACTCTTATTTTAAATTGGCCTCTACACTTTTAAATGCTCAAATTTCTTCCCTAAACTATAACCTTCATTTTAAATTAGTCCTAAAACTTTTGAACATTTGAATTTCATCTCAAACTATATTTATTTATTAATCACATCCCTAATTAATATGTCTAGATAATAAGTTATGTGATCATAAGAGATAAGATATATGACAAAAGATATGTGAAAGTGTATATGTGATTATATGTCTATATGAATACAAGAAAATGTGACATGACATATATGTGATATGAAGCTATGAGCTTATATGACTATGTGATATGAATGTGTAAATGTGACAAACATAATGATAAGAATTGAGAGCTAGGGGTATAGTTGGCATGCCAAGAGTCGAGGGTTCTATATGGTCCTTCGAGACATATATATATATAATCCTTTGGAACATATATGTGGAATATAATGATAAGCATGCTAATGACGATCTATGTGTATATATAAGCCTTATATTACATGATATGTACATGCATTTGTTAAATAATTATTGTAATACCCTAATTTTGTCCGTACCATTTAAATTCATTTAAAGATGATCGGGAATTAATTTGAAGATATTTGTGCTCGATGAGAAATTAATTCAAATGATGAAACAAGGAAGCGTGCATTTGGAAGCTTTAGGTGCTTAATTGGATTGAAACCATATTTATTGAAATCATATTTATTTCATTTTGGAATTCAATATATAAATTGAAGCCCAAATTCGATCCAAAATCTAAATTAAGTGTCTAAAGTCCATTTACATCTTACAAGCCCAAACTAGACCCATTACAAGTGACCCGGTTACAAGACCCGTTTTGAAGCACACCAACCGAGTGCTTCCACGTGAAGCCCCTTGGGGTTGTCACCCATGCCATTTCAAGCTCCCGCATGAAGCCACAACAACTGCCTCCCACGTGAAACACTAGAACCGAGCAGCAACCCATGCCTTCACCATTCCCAACCCAGCAGCATCCCACGCCTATCGGCCATCCACGAGCAGCAGCTCGTGCACGCCCTGCTCCACTACCTGCCGGCCACCCACGAGCACCCATGCCAACACCTATACGCGGCAACCACACAATCCAAAGCGACAAGAGGAAGACAATTAAAAACAGCAGGAGGGGGAAGACAAAGGGAGGTTCACGAACAGGAGAGGGCGGAGAGAAATCAACCAACAGAGAGAGGACTCGGTTTTTCAACTAAAAAATAGGATCAGCAATTTACAGAAAAAAAACAATTTGTGAGGGGGTTTCGATTCTTTATCTTGGGAAAACAGTGTAACAAAAGGGGGATTTTAGAAGGCATGTAACAGAGGGTTTCCCTTTTATTCTTGTAAGCAGAGAATTCAAAAAGAAATAAGAAATCAACGTTTTCTTTTCACCTGATATCCATTTTCCAGCAAAAACAACAATTCAAATCCATAACCAACCAAAGGAAAACCAAAGCCGAAATTTCAATCAACCAAAACTATTTTTTTGAAAGACCAAGAACGAAAAAAGAATACATTTAAGAGGTACTTCTCATTTTGTTTACTTTCCAGCAGAGTTTTGTGTGAGTGTATGGTTGTTATTTGAAGCGAGATAGGAGAGGTTTAGTTTTGCTTTACCTAGTTCTGCTTCGGGTCTTCGCCGAGTGTAAGGGAGCCGAGAGTGGGGGTTAGCATCGTCTGGACCTTAGGAGCATTAGGTCGGCAGAGTCTGTTCCATAGTTTTAGATTGAGGTAAAATAAAAAAGGAAAGGGTTAGAATAGAACCGAGTGTGATGGAGTTTTGATTAGGATTAGAGGCTTACCAGTCGAGTCTTGTGGCCGTCGGAGCAGGAGCGATCATCAGGGTGCGGTGAGGGTCTCGCCCGTGAGTGGAGAAGAGAGGAGATAGGGGATGAGAGAAATGGTGCCTTGGTGAGGGAGAAGAGAGTTTAGCAGAAATGGGATTAGGGTTCAGCTTTTATCCGTAAATAATATATATGTATAAGTCGAGGTTCCCATTTATTTGATTGTTTAGACATTTTCACTTTAAATTTTTTTCATGTTTCGTTTTAGTCCCTAGGTCGAAGTTTGCATGTTTATAATTATGTCTATTTAATGCATTTAATTTTGGTCCTAGTGTTAATTTCTTTCATTTTTGTTGTTTGACATTAGGATTCTACATTTTTGCATGTTTCTTTTTGGTCCATTGTATGTTTAGGGTTTTTTTAAAATACTAGTCCTTCATGATGGTGTTTTGTTTCATTTTGGTTTCATGGTTTATTATGTGTACTATTCATATGTTCATTTCAGTTTGTATCTTAGATAGTAAAATTCTATTTAATATAACTTAGTTATTAGTTTAATATGTATAGCTAATTTTATAATTTGAGGTGTTACCAGCTCCAGATCCAGGCCTTTCAACAGCTTTCTGCCCAAATCTAACTTCTTTGTTTCTCTAAATCTTTGATTAGCATTTCTAATTCCATTTTCTTGTGCAGAAGTTTTCCATGTGAAGAGTGTTGGTCCCCGACAGGTTTTGAACTCGGCGTCAAAATTTTCTCAAGTTCAGAAGCCAACCCCTCACCATACCGCGTGCACTATTTGTGGATCTCTTCAACCCTCGCGCATCTGTTCAAGATCCGTTAGTTAAATCTCTTTTGAATCTCATATTTTTCATATTTTTTATAGTCTGATTTTTTTTCTTTCTTTTCTTTTGGTTCGAATCTTTTAGGTTTTTTTTATATAAAAGAACTTCTTTTTTCGTATAGTTCTACTATTTTTTGTTCTGATTCTTTTTCGCCGTGAGAGAAATATTTATTTATTTTAAAAAATCATAATATTTTGAAATTTCGTTATGTTTTATTGCTAGGCCGTACTATATCTGTAGGAATAAAGTTATAGATCAAACGGCTAATATAGTTTCCAACTAGGCTTTTTAGTACCCTTCAATTCTCTAGCGTTTTCTGGTGCATCTTCTGTCTTCTTTGGATTCATTTTCCATAGTTTCTCATAGCTTCGACTATAGATGATTACTTGAGGTCATGTCCTTCTTTTAGAGCTCATGGGACGTATAGGGGGAGGGCTCAACATAGTGGTGACAAGGAGACTAGACTTAGAGTTTGCTCGTTGAATGTAGGCACATTAAATGCTAGGCTACTGGAGCTGACCGACGTACTTAATAATAGGAAATTAGATTTTGCATGTATTCTGGAGACTAGGTGGAAATGGGCTCGCGCTAGAGAGTGTAATGGGTACAAGTTGTGGTATTCAGGCGTAGATAAAGCTAGAAATGGGGTGGGTATCTTGGTATCCTCTAGGCTCAAGGAAAATGTAGTTGAGGTTTGTAGATACCGGGATAGGATCATGATGATTAAGGTTATTATAGAAGAGGAAGTGGTGAATGTCCTTTCAGTGTACGCCCCACACGTTGGCCTAGGGGAGGGGGAGAAACGTTGCTTCTGGTATCAGTTACATGATGTACTTAGGAACATTCCGGAGGACCAAAGAGTTTTCATAGGGGGGAGACTTCAATGGCCATATAGGTAGTGTAACCGACGGGTTTGACGGTGTTCATGGGGGTTTCGGTTATGGTAGCAGGAACGATGAGGGACATACGTTGCTTGAATTTGCTATTGCACACGATTTAGTGGTCACTAACTCCTTATTTAATAAGAGAGATGCGAACTTGATTACGTTTCATAGCGGGGGGTATTGTACCCAAATCGACTACATCCTGGCTCGAAATCGGGATCGATGGGCTTGCATTGACTGTAAGGTGTACCCTGAAGAGGCATGTGCATCACAACACAAATTGTTGGTTTTGGTGTTCCGCGTACAGCACGGGCGGAGCACTCATAGGAGAGCTAAACTGGGTAAACCTAGGATCCTTTGGAAGAAGTTACATGGAGCGACAACTGATGACTTTAAGAGTAAGGTTTTGTCTAATACAGGTTTTGGAACTACAATCTCAAATAATGCAGATTTGTTATGAAAAAATATGGCAAATTCCATCAGAGAGATGGGCAAAAACACCCTTGGGTTGTCGACGGGGAAGGCCAAGGAACATAAAGAATCATGGTGGTGGAACGACGAAGTCCAAACTAAGGTGAAGACAAAGCAAACTTGCTTCAAGGAATTTCTACAATGCAATGACGACGAAGAAAGGTCGCGAGCTAAACAAAGATACAAGGAGGCAAAGCGGGAAGCCAAGAAATAGGTGGCTAAAGCAAAGGATAAGGCATACGAGGAAATGTACAAGAGATTAGACACCAAGGAAGGACAAAACGGCATCTTCAGGCTTGCAAAATCTAGGGAGAATAGGAAAAAGGATCTAGGTAGCATTAGGTTTATTAAGGACAACAATGGTGTTCTACTAGCGAAAGATCATGATATTAAGAGGGTTTGGGGTAGTTACTTCTTTGGCTTATTTAATGAGGGTGCTTCTCCCTGTAGAGATAATACCGTTGATGGGTCAGCCGACCATCATACTACGGCCAATGACTGCCCTACAAGTAAGATTGGGTTTGAGGAAGTCAAAATGGCTCTTAGAAAGATGGGAAGGGACAAAGCTTTCGGTCCTGATCAAATTCCTATCACTGTGTGGTTGGCCCTAGGAGAAGATGGAGTTAAGTGGTTGACCAACATCTTTAATATTATTTTAGAGACTGCCAAGATGCCAGAGGAGTGGAGAGAGTCTATGGTGATACCAATCTATAAGAATAAAGGAGATCCCCAACGTTGTGGTAACTACAGATGTATTAAACTACTCAGTCATACCATGAAGCTATGGGAAAGGGTGATAGAGGCTAGGTTGAGACAAGTTACTAGGGTTTCGAAAAACCAATTTGGATTTATGCCAGGCAGGTCTACCACGGAGGCGATTCATCTACTTCGACGACTCATGGAGAAATATAGGGAAAAGTCTAGAGATCTTCACATGGCGTTCATTGACCTTGAGAAGGCTTATGATAGCGTTCCCCGATATACGATTTGGAAGACTTTGGAAACGAGACGGATCCCAACTGCTTATATCCGGGCGATTCGTGATATGTATTGTAGATCTACTACACACGTCAGGACTACAGTTGGCGACACTGAGGCATTCCCGGTGGAAATCGGACTACACCAAGGGTCGGCTCTTAGTCCTTACATATTCGCCTTGATTATGGACAACATCTATTGTGCGACACCAGACGGTGTACCATGGTGTATGTTTTTCACTGACGACATTGTCCTAGTTGCTGAAACAAAATCTGAGTTGAATAATAGACTGACTACCTGGAAGACTGCTTTGGAAGAAAAAGGTCTAAGGATCAATATTGAAAAGACAGAGTATTTATGTTCAAACTTCAGTGAGGACCAAAACGATGAAGATGTAGAAGTATGCATAAAAGGACACGTTCTCCCCTCAAATGATTGTTTCAAGTACCTAGGGTCTATGATACATAAAGATGGGGGTGTAGATGATGATGTAACACACCGTATAAAGGCGGGATGGCTAAAGTGGAGGGCTACTACTGGAGTTTTGTGTGACAAGAAGGTGTCTCTAAAACTTAAGGGAAAATTTTATAGAATGGCAATAAGACCAGCGTTGTTGTATGGATCAGAATGTTGGGCAACCAAGAAAGATCATGTAAGGAGGATAGAGGCTGCAGAAATGAGAATGCTTCGATGGACATGCTGTAGGACTCTGTGGGATATGACAACAAACTCTACTATTAGGATGTCCTTGGGGGTGGTGCCTGTTTCTGAAAAATTGAGGGAGGGAAGACTACGGTGGTTTGGGCATGTCCTTAGGCGACTACCGTCGGATGCGGTCAGGAGGGTAGAGTCGATTACAGTCGACGGTACCAGAAGGAGAGGACGACCAAGGCGGAAGTGGGAAGACTGCTTGAGATCTGATTTGATGGATTTAGCCCTTACCGAGGAAATGACCTCTGATAGGAAAGTATGGAGACTAAATACTAGGGTAGTCGAGTAGTGTGGGTCACATCTCTAGGGTGTATCATCTCTGTCTTCTTTTAATGCCTTTGTAGTAATTTCCATGAATTCTATTTTTTATACGTTTCTGTTATTGGTATTTATGTAGGCTTAGAATTGGGCTTGCTATCATGGACTTCTGTGTAAAATTCTCTTCACTTTTAAATTTAGTCGGGTCTTACGTTTCTGTCTATATGCAGAGATTTTTTCGCAGGGATTTATTCACAGGGATTACTTCCCATTTCAAACGCGCATATAATATTAATGATATTTATGACTGCATATGAATATTGTTCAACTATGTATTTATTTATTTATTTATACATGCTTTGCATTTTATCTATATTTTTAATTTTCTGACTGCCGGAGGTCTTCCACGGAAGCTACTCTCAACCTGGCGTTGGGGGCAGCCTACTACCCTACCTCCCCCTTACCCCATTGCATATGGGAATTGGGTTTTGTTGTTGTTGTTGTTGTTGTTGATTAAGGGTAATACCTTTTTAATTTAAAATTGTTTTAAGTGGGTTGTCTTAACTTATTAGATATCCGCTTTTGACGATTTTAAATGAAAAGCTTATCCCACTAGTGGCACCTAAAAATGGATTTATCACTTTAAAATTTGGGAATGGAAGAAAAATAAATGTTCGGTTATTTAAATTTATCGAGAAAAGGTTGTTATAACTATTTAAGATCTGGTCTCGATATTTTTAAATAATCGAATATTCTCTATCTTTTTAATGGCTTGGTAATTTTAATTTAACCTATTTTGTTGCTTCTGAATATTATAAAATTTGCGTTTTGTTGTTTTAAGGGATCTGTAACACCCCAATTTAGGGGCTAAATTTAAAAAATTATAAAGTTGTGAATTTAATTTGTATTTTTGGAAGAAAGTGGGGATTAAATTGTAAAATTTTAAAGTTGCAGACCGTTTTAAGAAGTATAAGAAATTCAGTGGTTAAACCCATGATTT